GTAGAAAGGAAGTATCACAAAAGTACAGCAACTAAAAGTATTAAGAAAAGTTTTTAAGATTTTAAGTATTTATTTGCCTTTAAACGAGTTTTTAAAGTTTTCGTACCTAAGTTTCGAGGACGAAACTTCTTTTAAGGGGGGTAGACTGTAATACCCCGTATTTTTATGTATTTTTATAAAGTATTTAAGTATTAATAAAATGTATTGTCAAGGGCTCTAGTATTTTAATTAAATATTTTAAAGGGTTAAAGTATTTTAAATATAAAATTTTATAAAAGTAAAATATGTTTTTGGCCAAACGTTTATTAATTATTGGGCAATGTAAATTATTCCTACATACTCTTATTGGAATAACCCATTCCAAAACCCATAACTTAAGCCCTATCCCATAACTCAAGCCCACATATTTATAAGCCCAAATCTAACCCTACACTCTCTACTCTATAAATACCTCATGAATCCCCAAAAATTTCCCACACAAAAAGGTTAGTCTTATTTTCTCTCTCCTTTGTTTTATTAATTTGTGTAATTATAATTATTGTTTATGGGTTTTAATTTTATTGTTTGAAATTAATTTAATTAGTATCAAATTGTATTTTGATGATTAAACTTTATAATTTTCAGATTTTTTAAATTTTATAACCTAGGGTTTTTAATTATTGAAAATCATGATTTTAGGGTTTTTATGAATAATTGATTTAGGGCTTTTATAGTAATGATGTTTTGAAATTTTGGTGATTATAACTACTTATTAGTTTAACTTAATTCCATATTATTTTGAACACGTAAATTCATGTTTTAATTATTAGATTTCCGTTCGTTAATATTAATCCCGTTTTAATCTCGATCAGGTTCTAAACTCCTCCGATTTTGATAAAAAAAAAGTAGTGTTTTTCGAGTGGAAACAACGTTTTAAGAAAGACTCACTTCCTATGGTAGTGAGCACCACCCTCTCGTGGCCAAATTCAGCCTCTAAATACGATTTTCGAGCAGTTTTTGTTTTTTAACGAAGTTTTTTTTATGCTTTAAATTTTATCCTTGAGTTTAAAAAGGGGTAAGAGATAATTTAATGTTTCTATGGATAATTTAAGTATAAAGATGTATTTTGATGAAGTTTTAAAGGATTTTTGATTAGTTTAAAATGTTGGAATTTTATAAAAAGTAGTATAATTGTGATTTTTAATAAAAGGGTGTGATTATCCATTAAAAAGGAGTTTAATTAGGGGTTTTTAAATAATTTTCAGATTATTATAAGTTATTTAAAGTGAGTTTAAGTTGCTGGAAATTGTGTATACAAGGGTAATTAATATAGTATTATTGTCCCTTTATGTAGGAGACTTGGTTCGAGAATTGTTGTAGATTACTCGGTTATTTTAAGAGCTTATTTGAGGTACGTACGCGTACTTAGCATATTTTGATGAAGTAAAATCATGCTAGGCTTGATTTCAATCAATTACAAGTAGTATCATGCTAAGGTTTATGTATGGAATTGTGAATTAATGGTGTTGGTGATTGAATTGTGAAGCATAAATTATTTGTGATGGTTATAGATTGGAAAATTATATTTTGGGCATGTTGTGTTTGAACCACATTTTTTATTTATGGCATGTTAGAAGGCATGATTAATTAAACTACATGTTTAATTATGTTTGGAATATTGAAAAGGAATTTTATTATGGTTCAAATAATTTTTATTGATGCTTTAAGCATGAGGAAGGAGCTAAATAAGTGTCTATGTACACAAGGAATAAATTGTATGTTGGTGCCTTTGTGCACTTAAGGTGTTTTTAACACCGAGGGATAGGATTTTTGGCGCATTATGCGTTTAAGGTGTCTTTGACACCGAGGTAGAATTAAAAAGGGTTCAATATTAAATAATATGTGGTCACTAGTTATTCAACAATTAATTTGGTATGTTTGGTTGATTGAATAATTATTGTTGATTGTTTTATGATGCTTTGAGAGTCATCACCAAGTCCAATAAAAGGTAAATAACGTAAAGTGAAAGAGATTACGCACCAAAACTCTTGGAACGTATATACCTTGAGTATGAACAATAAGGGAAGTTATGGGGTTTTATATTTAACCATAACTTCTAATGGAGTACAGGACGCTGTACATTCCTTTTTATTTATTATTATGCGCAGGAATTCCGCCACCTTTGAGTGGTTTTGTCGCTGACACGGTTAGCTCCCGTGTTAGTTAACCTCAATTTATTTGGGGGAGGTATAGTTGGAAACCCGTTCGATGCGTAATCAACGCTAAATGAATTATTTAGTGTCTAGTTAATGTGTCTTGTTGATTGTTGTGTGTGCTTGTAAACAGGTGCAATGAGGTAAGTGTGTGTTGATAGGTGAAAGCATGTTAGTGTGTTTAATTACGCTTATGTACTCAGTTTTGCTGATTGTGTGTGTTTGTGTGTTTGGCCATGTCTTTACTTTGGCCCTACGACGACCCATTTTCTAATGGCGAGTAGTGGGGACAAGTAGAGAGGAGGTTTTCAGGTGATGAAGCATATTCATGAATGGGCATGAGTGAAGAGCGAATCATGCTAGTTTCTATAAGTCTATGATGTGTTTAATGCTTTAATTATTTATGATATTATTATCATGCATGACTAACGCAAAAGTTTTAAAGTTGGTTTGGTTTTAATAAGGGCCTACAATGGTTCCAAGTTGTAGGATGGTTTTATTTTACTTCGTTTGACTTTGGTTTTGACTTTACTTTCGTTGGTTGACTTTTCAAGTTGACTTGTTTTGAATGGTTTTGAAATTAGTCTTCTGCTGTGTGTCTTTGATGGTTGCCTTAGCCGTTTTCACGGTGGCGGTAATATCTTAGATATTCCTATTTAAATTTTTAAACAGGGCAAAACAGGTATTTTAAATGAAAGAAATTTCTAGGATGTTACAATAACCTTAAAGGTTGGTAAATCCGTAGTTAAGAACTTTTCCGGGAGAGTCTTGCCACTCAGTTGTGGTGCAAGCTCATAATTGTAGTACTAAGTCCCTGAGCTTGCTCGAAGGAAATGTTTCTCCAAGGCCTCTAGCCTGCCGGCTCTTGCTTTTTCTTACAGAAGGTTTTCTTTTCCTTTCTTTGCTTTTATTTAAGCCTTTTCAGCTTTTTTATTAGCCTTTAATTGGGCTTCTTCTTCTCGAAGGGCCTTTAGGTTTTGGAGTTCCTGTCTAAGTTTCTCCAATACTGCCTTGTCACCCATGATTGGACTAGTACGCAAATGTGGAATATGACCTAGTAATGTGTATCACGAGAAATTGAGCGCGCTCACTTAAACCTTTTCTACCAAGCATTCAAATAATGAATCAAAGTCAAAATGATTGTTTTATTTCTTTTTTAATCCTTGTAATACGAATTCACTTTAAGCAAGTTTGTTGATGAAGAGTGTTAAAAAATTCACGAACAATCATTAATGGAATGTCATGATATGTGTTGACTTCAACAACGTAATCATCTAAGGATTTTACTTTAAATGAATTGTTTTCGAAAAAGGTAGAAGAGAAAGAAAAGAAAGTTGGATTGAAATACTCATCAAATTTTTAGGAATATTAATCAACCCGAAGATAGTCCTTAAAATGATAAATATACTATGGTAGTTGTTGATCATTTAGATTACAATAGAGATCGATACCTTTTTTTATATTTTTATTTTTATTTTTTATTTTTTTAATTATGATTCACATATTGCTCATCTTTAAAGGATAATATTTTACTATTTGCTTAAAAAGAATGATGGCCTCCGAATGTAAAATCCAAGAAATAATTAAATCAATTTCTCGGTTTTATCATTCATTATCTTACTTTTTTTTTTTTTAGTTTTTAATTTATTTGTATTTTTTAAGAAAGATTTTTTTTCTTTTTTGGTTCGTTGTATTTATCGCTTTTTTTTTTGTGAGGCAAACATAGCAAGTAAGGTTCTCGAAATTTTCTTTTTAAACCATAGAAAAGGTAAATAAATTATACTCTTAAATCAAGGTTGATCAATTACAACTGAAACATGATGAACACGTAAATAGGCACGTTTAAGAATAAACATATTGATGACGTCCTATTAAGGGATGCGAACTTTTAATGACGAACTTCATTAGAAGTAATGTCATTAGTTCGATTATAAAGTACGTAAATGAATCATCATAATAATATCGCGCGCAATTTTCCGTCTTGCGCTAAAGTTGAAAGTGCAACTTCAAGAGTAGCATATGCCACAAGTTAAAGTCAACGTTGAACAGTGGGCGCGCGTAAGACACAGAGTTGAGCGGAGGTGCCGCGCGCAACTTCTGAACTTGCGCTTGGAGGGCGCACACAACTTTGATAGTTGCGCTTGCCACCTGGTAGGTTCGACTTTTTTTTTTTTTTTTTTTGAAAATCGAAGAGCAGACAACTTTTTTTGTCAAACCACGATTTTTAAGATTTTTTTTTATTATATCAACAGGTAACAAGCTGGAATTAGTTAGATTGGACACGAAGCACATATTCATGTAGTCACATAAGCACATAAAAAGAACCGTCAAAGCATACAATGTCTTTCTAAGGTCAAGGCTTGGGTGCCCAAGGGTACCATATCTTAAGAGACGATGCACTAATCAATCACTCAACTTGTTGACCCATGACATAGCCTTCACAACATTTTGTTGGCGATATGCGTAAGATGATTGTTATTGATTTCGAGATTGAAGCCTGGTGTTGGAAGCCCCTAATTAATGAGCAAATCTCCAATGGTTAAAGTGTGCTATGATTATGCATGATGCAATGTTGCTTGTTTGGTTTTTACTTTTGTGAAAAAGGAAGATATTCTGCGTTCAAGTCTTGCTCTCTAACTAGAGATTATCCAAGTTAGCCATCGTTACAACCCATAGGTAACCTGGTGTTGGAAACCTTTGTCCATAACTAAGAACTAATCTTGTAACTTCTAAGTCCCACTTGTGGAAAAAAGTTCATTTGTAACGCCTCAATTGTAACAGGCATAATTAAATCCGTTACAATAAGATGATTCATAACGGGTAATATATAGGTCTGATACAAATAACTGATATTTGTAACGGGCGAAAATTTGACGGTAACAAATAAACAATATTCGTAACTTATTTAGATCTGAATTGTGAATTTCTGTCAACTTATTTGGACCAATTATTTAAAGATCGACGTTTCGAGTATGATTTTTTTGGTATTCGTCCATGTATAATCTCTGAAATCCGATTCAAAGTGATTATGCTGAAGCTTGAGTAATTCATCTCCGTCGAAGCTACATTGTAGAAGCTTATGAGCTTTAACTCCTTATTGAAATAAAATCAGAGGTAAATTCTTTTTTTTTTTCATTTATTAACCATTGAATATCAATTTTTTAGGTCATTATAGTCAAATTCGGGATATTTTGTGGTGAATTATTGAAATATTTGTTATATTGTTCAATTTATTAAAGATTATAACAATCAATTTTGCTGCTAGAATTTCTTATGTGCATTTGTCGTTGATAATCTTGAGCAAAAAGAATTTATTTTGATTTTTGGAACCTGATTTAAATGGGTTTAGGTTTAATAGTCGGTCTTCTCGGAGCACTAAAGCTCATTCTTAGTCCTGCCGCCGCCATCCAAGCCGCTTTGCACCGAACCAATCGATTTGATTTTCAATCCCTGAGATTTTCACTATGGTGAACATTCGTAGGGTTCAAGAAGATTCTTGGGAAGAATTTTCCCGTAATCCTTGGGTTTTTGCCCTAGATGTTTTTCGCACTCATGGTAATTCCATTCTCCTTATCATTTTAATGGTTTACAATTCTGGTATGTTGGTGTATGCGTTTTAATTTGATTGATTTAGGGTTTATTGTTTTGTGCAAAATTAGGTGTGGTTTATATTACCCCTTTGCGTGCTATCAAACACCCACCCATTTCTACGCAACCATAGGACATTTTCGAATTCCTCTCTTTTGCTCCAAGTTATACCGAATCTTCTAATGGTCACTTTGAAATGTGGCCCTTGTTAGAGTATCAATATACCTTATCTTTAGGCTTAGTGCCACTTTCTGTCGTGTTAAATACTTGAATATATGATTTTACTTGCTATTTGTTCTTTACTCTTGTTGCACCTGTGTGATGGCGCTACGGGGATTGATGTTGTGGGGGTTGTTGTGGACTTGTGGGTTTTGTTAACCATGTAGCTTTCTCTGCTTAATTTTTGAGCTAGTGCCAGAATTACTCTGAATAATTCTGAATAGTTCAGCTGGCCATTTTGCCTTTTGTTATTGATATGAATGTTGTGGAATACGGGAGCGAGGGGAAGCATGTAACTTGATTTATTTTGGTGATTTTTCAGTGGAATGCCTGAGACGGAACCGATTATGATTGTGAAAAGCTTAAATAGAAACGACTGCAAGAGTACACTTCTTTTCAAGGGTGGTGGCAGTATTTTAGCACAGTTGCTAAGGGACTTGTCATCATTCTGCGAATTTGGTGAGCAGATTTTGTTTATATATGATAAGATTTTGTTGAATCTGACCATGGTTTTATTGAATTTTAAACAATTTTATTTTAAAGAACATTATATGCTAGCATGGTTAAGATCTCTATTAGTAATTATATTGTTCTTTGTTGAACAAGACTACAAGAGCAGTAATATGATCATAACGCAAAATCAGGACCATTATTATATTATAAACAATGGACGACTAAAATTAGTAAGAAGTATATGCTAGTAATGTTACACTCAGGGAATATTTATCTTTTTTTTTTTAATATTGATTTGTTTGTGATTTTGATCGGAAATCAGGTTCTGATCTGTATTGCTTATGCTTTGATTTGTTATTTTTTGGTGACTATCGAATGAAAAGTTGTTTGAATTTTTTTAGCTTACTTTGAATGTTAATTTAGTTATTTCTCTAGTCTTTTTCTTTTAAATCAGTAATTTGTGCCTTTTTTTATTTATTTATGTCACTTGTGGAACTTTTTTACATTGGAGGTCCAGAAATTGATACCTTTATAACATAATAATTGATGAACTTTTTTTAATATTTAAATGTCCGTTACGAATAACGGGTTATTTGTAACGGGCACTTTAAATGTCCGTTACGAATAACAGGTTATTTGTAATGGGCACTTGAAATGCCCGTTACAAATAAACCGTTATTCATAACGGGCATTTAAAATGCCCGTTACAAATAACCCGTTATTCGTAACGGACATTTCAATTGCCCGTTACGAATAACACTAGCAATCCGTAACGGTGGCATACGTAACGCCCGATGCCCGTTACGGATAGACCTTTTTCGCCCGTTACGGATAGCTATTTTTCCACTAGTGTCCCCAGTGGAGTCGCCACTTTAAGAAGGGTGTTCCCACAGTAGAAGATCTTTCTCCTTAAATGACCATGACCCTTTAAAAGCCTAGGAATTACACTTGTTAGGGTGTATTAGGATTTGAATTCCTGACTGTTTGGGAGACCTTGAATTAGAATTGATTATATCGTTACGCTTTTTTGTAAGAAATAAGTAGGATTCGCCAATGAGTTTTAGGAAAACTCATAAACCTCATTCATGCCTTTCTCGCAAGTAGAGTTCAAGGGATAATTAACACGAATCATATGTTTAGCCATGTCTAAATTGGTCTACGTGTACAAGAAATGAGTTCGAGAGCGAGGGTACTAAAATAACGTTCCCTTTAGGGGGGAATTGCTATTCTAGCCCTAGTACGACCTCTATTAGCTCTTCCTTTTTTCACAATTTCATTACCAAACAATATATGCAACGTGGCTCCTAAAAACTAAGTTAGTCGATTTTATTTACAAGCATTAATCATGTAGGAATTACATTGCAAATATCGTTATTCTTTTGTTATTCAAATTCTTGAAAAGAACAAGAAGTAAACAATGTTTGCCTGAACTTAGGTGATAAAACAATCAATTAATTATTCAAATTCTAGTATTAATTAACACAAGAATAGTATGTGAATTAAATTAATTAAATTTTGTTTAAAGTGATCAAACAACACTATTTATTCAATTAAAGTTATTTAAATAATAAAAGAAAAGTGATTTATCTAACTGCTCAGGAAATTAACCGTTCTTTTATGTCGAATTTCCATCGCGAATTTCTTTCTTCTTTGTACCTCCAAGGACTTCAATGGATTCAATTAGGATTGGAATGTATTTGGGAAGAGAAAAGATAAGTAGTATGATAGTAAGAGAACTTGAGAGTTTATGATATTGAGAATACTAGGGTTCGAATTCTGATTTTTCGGTCCTCTTTCGAGCTGAACGAAGACCCCTATTTATAGGCGTAGGGATCTAGGTTTAGGGTTTTAGAGCCGCATTGTCAAGTGGCACGCGCAACTCTCTAAGTCGCGCTGGGTTCTTTGTGCATCTCAATGAGTCGCGCGCGCTAAGCGCGCGCAACTCACTGAGTTACGCTAGGTGCGGTTTTCCTTATACGTAAAAGGGCTTTTAAAACTTCCATAACTTTTGATTGCGTAGTGGGATTAAGGTGTTTGAGATATCATTTGAAATCTATGAATGTCTACTTTCCAATGTCATTGGAATTAGGTTAAAAATCTGTTGTGGATCAAAAGATATGGCCGTTGGAGCGCAAGGGTGTCGGTTTTAGGCCCCGATTTAGTGTTTTGATCATACTTCTTCGTTTTAGCTTGGAATTGGTCTTATAATATACCGTTGGAAATCTCTTTGAAAGTTCTACCCATATGTATATGACATGCACAGAAATTTGATGGTTGGTATATCTGTTTGGCTCGGTTTTCAACAATGTAAAATCCATTGGATCGAATCATTGCACTTGCCGCATTTGGGTCCGTTATTAATCAAGTTTAAACATGTATGAGAACGTTTTAGGCCTAATTAGTAATTGGACAAGGCTATAAGATAACTTGGTCTCAATATGAGTTTTAACTTACTTCATAATGCATTTCGTATTCCATAAACACTTCAACTTTGATCTAGCATGAAGAACGAGTTTTTGTAACATCATCGTACTTCCTTTCGGAATAAGAGGTCAAATGTAGGTGTCTATAGTCAGTGTAAAGAATTATAAATATAAAATTACTGAAGTTATTAATCATTGTATGTATTGGTGTTGATTCTTCAAAAAATAAAGAAAAAAAAAAATAAAAATGGTGTTGATTCTACTTGTATTTTTATATATGCCATGACATGTTGATGAAATGATGTATTTGGTGCTAATACTTGGTGTTACTACATACTTGTCGTGTTTTCATATGTAGATGCATAATTATAGATATGAGGATGCTAGTACAAATATGTTATTGTCAAATCTTAAACGACCTCCAAAAACATAGGCAAAATTGAATCCGAGAGGGGGTAAGAAGCAACAAGATGTCCCTGTACACTCTAGTTAGATCAGTCCAACTAATGTTGCCCCTGAGCATCATTCTCTTGAGGTACAAGATGTCCCACATCCAATTTCACCTATTTTTGAAGAAGATGTCACGTCATCTTTGATGATGACTCGACTGAGGATGAAAATAATAAAATTGATCCAACAGAACTAAAGGAGGCGTATGTATATGAAGGACAATGTAGCAATACTAGCAAGGAAAAAAGGCTGGTGGAACACAACCAAATGAACACTTGAAGCAGGAAAATGAGGAGGGTAGAGAAGATGTAAATGAGGAATATCATCTTGATTATGAGGATTTGATTCCGTGGGATGTATTCTAGGTGAGGAGTTAGAAAATGATGATGAAGATGAAATGATTGCAATTACAGGTGAAGTGCTTGAAACGAGAAGGGTTCAATTAGCCTCTAAAATGGCCTGATAATGATGCCTCAATGATTTATAACTTTGAGGATAATAATCTACAAGTTAAAGGGGTTAATGAAACAATCGGTGATGAGAACATACAAGCTACCAATGAAAGTGGATAGAATACAATTACTTCTATATGTATTCATTTCTTTTTTGCAATAGATAATGTATCACTTAGTAAAATTTAAGAGTCAATTACACAAATGATTGAACTGGGTATATTAAAACTACTCCCTCTATTTTTTTATTTGTATAAGTTTGACCAGCACATTTGCTGTGACGCAACTTTGATCATTAATAGATTTAATTTCCTATTAATAAAAAATAGGAAAATTTGACATTTGCTACCAGCAAAAGCACCTTGTTTCACATTTACTACCGGTATAATTTTTTTTATTTTATCTTACTACCACCCAAATCCCAAAGTTATAGATGTTGCTACCCATTATTTCATTAAATAATAATTATTTTTTTTAAAAAAAACAAAACTTAAAAAAAAATCCCAGTCACCTCCATTCCCCGTCAGCCACCCCCCTCCCTGTGTCAGCGCCCAAATGTTCTATCGATGCTGGCGAACCCCACCTCCTCCATTTTCCCTCTTGCCAACCACCCTTAACCCCGGTGACGCCCCAAACATACGCACCAGACCCTTCGCGCGGTACCGCAGCAAGCCCAAAGCGCCGCCCACCCCCAACCCCTAAACCCTTTTCCCTCCTAATAAACCCTAGTATAACCCCTCTTCTACCCTTGAAATCTCCCGATTTCTCCTCATCTAACCCCAAAACATGATTTTCAAAGGTGGAGGAGAAACAATTTGGGGGTTTTAGAGGTAGGGGATGGGTTTTCTAGGGTTTCGTGGGCTTCGGGGTTGTGGTTAGGGTTTCGTGGGCTTAGCCAACAGGGAGAGGGTTAGCGACATCGAGGGGAAGGGGTTGGCCGTTCGTCGACGAGGGGAATGAGTTGGCCGGTTTCCAACGAGGGGAGGAGGTGGCAGTAAGGTTTTGGAGCAGCATTGGTGGGAAAGGGAGGTTGGACGGTGCCATAGTGGCAATGAGGGTGGCTGAAGATCGAGTGGGGGCAGTGAGGTGACTTGGGTGGCTAGAAGGTGGCGTGAGGTGGATGGACGGTGGTTGGGCCCTACTAACACAAACGGTAACGACATAAGGCAACGGGTAGTGATATCAATAATTTGGAATTTGGGTAGTAGAAAAAAAAAATCAACAGGTAGTAAATGTGAAGCAAAGTGCTTTCGCAGGTAGCAAATGTCAAATTTTCCTAAAAATTATAACAAAATTACATTATGAAACTAGACATTATGACTAATTTAATGATATATTATATAACAACTTTTATTTATTATATAGAGGTGAAAAAATTAAGTCAACCATGGTATGTGAATATTGCAAAAATCAAAGTGATGCATTTAAAAAAACGGAGGAAGTACATCTTAAACCATAATAAAAATTCGATGATAACTTTTTTTTGGAAAGAAGTCCTCTCATTAATTAAATTCATATTGCATCTAAATAACAACAATGAGAACAAATCTAACAAAATCAAACAAGAAATAATCAGGGAAGGGCTAAGAATCCAAGTACATAGATATAACGATTCGACACATTCTCGATTCATTGCCTCATACAACTTTTTTAGTGATCCGTCGTCACTTCATAATTTTGAGAGAAAGAAATTTTTGGTTATGATTTTTAACCCAAATCCAAGCAATAATTAGTAGTGCCCCGTACAACTAGAGACCATATCAAACGCAAACAAAACATTGTCTTTCGAATAAGTTTGAAAAACCTT